CCCTCACAGCTTAATTTTTCATTGCCTTGAGCAAATTTTAATTCTAGTTATTATCTAGATTTAATAAAGTGAAGCACAGAGGCTAAATGAATCACCAGAGGTCACTTGGTGAGCAAATGGAACAGCCTGGAGTAAAACAGGCTTTCTTCCTTGGCATTTATCGTATTTATAATTTGAATTCCAGCAACTGTTTGAAGTCTTCACTAAGACTGTGTTGTATCAGGCAAACAAAGGACAAGTCCATGCACTGAATAGCAAGTATTGGAACTGATTAGACCTGGGAAACAAAAGAGGAGGGATTATTATCTCTTACAAATGCAACTTTAATGCACAGGGATTAAGGGAGGGGCTGTCAGTTGAGAAAAGCACAGTGAGCAATTTTTGACATGTCCTGAAATGACACAGGAAATCTGTGGCAGTCAGGAAGTAAACACAGACCTGAATTTTAAAAAATGATTGAACTCCAAGAGTACCCATTATAGTCATATTTTCCCAGTGCTGTTTCTACAATAAAACTGAGGATTTGGTGCAAAAGCTCAGTCCCTAAGATGTCAGAAGTGTGTGTGACTGTGACTAGGCCAGTGATTTGGGTAACGGAGTGTCCTTCTCTCTGGGGTAACTACTTCTAGAGAAAAGAGACCTGAATTTGAATCTGAGGGAATAAGCATCCAAAGGGATTATAAATCCTAGCTTTGTGGAGACATTCTTGGTCTGGACAAAATGTAACTTTTCAAGAAGGCTGGAGACTCAAAACTGCTTCTTTTTCCTTTGCTTGGAAAAAATAGTGAGCACTGCTTTTTTTCATAAAACAGAAAAAAAAAATCAAAGTTTTTCAAAGCTAAAGTATTGTTACCATCCGTGTAACAGTAGTTAAAATCCGTGGCTTCCTTTATGTTTTTTGAAACCTAAGTTGTCATTTAACAAATCTGCAATTATCAATGCATGCAAATTAATGCCTATGGAATAAAATGATCTTTATTAAAAAGAAATCCCCCTAAAGAAAAATATACATTCAAAATCATCCTTTAATAGTTGGTTACCAGGGAACAATTTCTTTAAGGTGGATTTATATGCTTTTCTGAGCAGAATAGCTAAAGAGAAACAAATCAAGGAAACAAGTAAAGGAAACAATAAGTTGAGAATAAATTAGGAAATAGGAAGCCTCTGTTGTGGGGACTTTCTTAAATTAACTGAAGGATTACAAATTTTATTTTATTTTATTTTATTTTATTTTATTTTATTTTATTTTATTTTATTTTATTTTATTTTATTTTATTTTTTTGTGCGTGTGTGAGATATTTACCTACCCAGAATTTTATTTCTACAAGTAAGCTCTTCATGCACATTTTCTGACCTTCATATTCTGCCTTTAGGTTTCTTTCATTAGAAATTCAGAAAACCTAGAATATCACTTGAATCATTCTCCTAACTCTGAAAACAGCCTCTGGAATTGAAAGGTGTTTATTTTGTCACTCATTTTTCAATCTGAGTCTATGAATGTTTCAGGTTTTTCTGAGACTCTCCCTGCAAATGCAAACAAAACTAAACTATATGTGCAGATCATGTACTCTTACACAATTCTTATTCTTTCTTGTTTGCACATACATACAAGAGGGCAAGCAAGGAGGTGCTCATTTGTGTAATTTCTGAGAAAATGGTTTTGTATGAGAAGGTTCAGGTTTTCTTTGTAACACTTCTTTTTTTTTTGTTTTGTTTTTTGTTTTGGTTGCATATTTTGAGAAACCTGACAGCAGTGCAAAGCTACTTTTCAAATGAAAATCAAACAAAAATGCATATGTTGCAAACACCTTAATACATAACTAGAGAATGTATATTAATAACCTTGACACATTTCAGGGTGACTTTGTAACTCTTTTAAAACACTGCAATCATTCTGGATACTTAAAATATGATAATAAGTGTTTTGCATGTATAAATCATTAATGAGGATTTGCAGAGTGCTTTGAAATCCTTTAATATGAAACTTCCGCAGGCTGTTTCCAATGACTGTCATTGCTTTGGGACCTTTACAAAGACATCTACTGTATAGGAATGCTTTAGAAGATGAGGACCACAGATTGAAAGATTATTAACAAAGAAAAAAAAAAAAAGGAAAATATTAGCAAGTAAGAAAATTAAATAGTTTTTAGAGAAAAGTGGTGGAGCATAAACACTTTCTATGCTGAAATCTCATATTTCACGAGATAAGATGGTACCTCAGATATATTACTTTCAATATCTTGTCCAAAGAGATTTACTCATATAGTTCAGGAGTTTATACATTCAAGTTGCTGAGAGAGTTTTTCACACACAACTATAAATGTAATTCAAGTATTATGAGAGAGTCCTCTTTACTGCTTATCAACATTGTCCAAAGAGCTGATTGCTAAGACCACATGCAACCACCTTATACCACTGGTCTGAGGGTAGGAGCCAGCTCTCTTAGAGTATAAGATTATAAAATTAGGGAGCATAGAAAATATAAAAATTTCTTCTCCTTGTACATCAGTTCCTGTGCACTCATTCCCCTGAGCATACAGATTCCCTGAACATGGCCAGTGACAGAGGGCACTAAAGTAATAACCACTGCCTTCAGTATTGCTTCGTATGGAGCCTGGTGGTTCCCTGTAATCCTTTCTCTGAGATCCTCAGGTGTCTGACTTTGAAGGTGGGTAAAAGCTGTGAGAGACATCCAGGGAGAAAGAAGGGGAAAGAAGTCAACCAAATGCCTCCTGCTTTACAGCGAAAGCTAATGTTCACTCCAATTGAAAAATGATCAGAGATTTTGGTTGCCAAAGCCACAATGCCTCAAATGAGAAAGAGTTTTAGAAATGATTTGACTTGAAAGCCAAGACATATCTGAGCAGCTCCAAATTTAAATCCAGAAGTAACTAGTCACTGTGATGATCTGTTTATCTTTCCAAGCAGTGGGCTCCAACTCCCAGCCCATCTGTCTGTTGTCCTTAAGAGTACCACAGCTAAATTATGATTTGAAGGGAGAGATGAATGGAGAACAAGAGTATTGGACTGATGACAGGCAGCCTGCTCAATACACCAGTAATTGTGCCATTGATAAGGGACCAGTCCTTCAAATACGTTTATAAAAAGAGAAAATCTGTCAGTGATATGACTTTTATCCTGAGACAATATGATTAACATTATTATTTCTAACCTTGGTGGTAAAAATCATTGCAATGACAGAAATCTGTGGAATGGTGTTTATTTGCATCTACCGGGGTCACCCAAGATTCTTTAAGGTGGGAGTGGGATCTAATGAGAATGCAGTGTAGGAAAAAAATTGCATTATGAGGCAAGAAATCATGACCTGATTAAGACCTGATTGGTGGTATGACATGCGTGACTTTGATCTGTTTATCGTAAAGGGATTCTATTACTCAATTCATGGGTGTCTGAAGCCAGTACCACACTTTAAGTATAATAACACAGCACTTTGCATGTATAAATCATTAATGAATACTTGTGATATGACATTTGATCCAAGGAGGCCACAGAGCTTCCTGATAAGAGTTACTGCCCCAGGGATCCTTCTAACACACCTTATAATTTAGAAGGGATTTACAGATTTATTTTTTTTTACCATTCTATTAGAGAAGGAAACAAGTAGCAGGTAAACAACTCCAGATAGGAAATCTGTCTGTAGGGAAGGGCAGATCTCAAGGTATGTGAGGCACTTTCCCTGATGAGCTTGTTCTGTGGGCTGTCAGCTACACCTTCTGACACAACAACCCAAGAATGAATTATGCAGGAGAGGAAAAAACTTTGTCATCCTTTGTGGCTGCAACTTTTCACCCTCATACTGATGGATAGACCCTTTAATCAGAATCAGTGCCCAAACAAGCATCCTGGGGGGCAACCAAAGCTTGTGTTCAGAATGATGCTATCCATCAGAAAGGGCGAGGAAGGCCAGAAAGATCTTTTTCTTAAAATAAAAACAAAAACAAACAAGCAAACAAAAAAACACTGAAGTACCATTTTCTGTCTAGACAACACACTGATGTAGAAGCAATTACAATGTAGCAGCCTCTTCAGTCTCACGGCAAGTCTCAAATCCTTCCTTCTCTCACCTGAAGAAGTCTACTTGCCTTGGGATCACTGGGTGTAAATTTTTACTATGAATCTGGAGCAGACATATGGCGCTAGCTATGCAGGTAAATGCTTTAATTAGTATTCTCTTAGTAGAACTGAGGAAATAATTTTTCACCGAGATGGACAAGCTGGTGAAAGACAAACAGAGAGAAGCAATAAGTCAGAGAATTTGTATAAAATGCAAATTATGCAGTAACGACAGGAACAGACACAGAAGTTGTGGCAGCAGGCTAATGCTCAGGAAAGTGGGTGGTTTGTGTTGGTGGTTTAAAAAAAACAACACACCATATTCCAGCTTTATTTTGTTGCCTGGTGCTGCTGCACTACATAGTCATAAGAATTTAGAGTAGATGAAGATCTGCTCCAGAATTTTTATAAAAGGTTACTGTTATGACACACAAAACTACTTTTTAATGAAAAATGTAATAACCTTGGTTTGAAGCTATTAAATGCTGTCTGCTTATGGAGTAACCATGACTCTCAAATTTAAAGTGATGTTATTATCCAAGTGACATATCTGTTTAAATTTTGTCATATACTTGGAATATTTACATACTATATGCACTTTGTATGTCTCAACCATTAATGAATATTTGAGACTAACTTTGAAGTTCTAACTTTAAAGAAGCCAAAGAAGAAGCTTCAATATTGTTATACAGCCCTAGGGATCTGTAGACAGACACACCTCACTGGCTTCTAAACGTATAATAGAGGTAAATGAAAGATCAAGATGATGATATTGCTAGGTAGAAAATTTTATTTTAAGTGAAATACACTTTTAAAAATGAAATTATATTTTATAAAAACATTTCCATCAATCAGGTAATTGATCACCTATTACACCTCAAAGATCACCATTGGATAAATTCCCAATTAATTTGTTTTTGTTTCTCAGTTGCAGTAAAATATGTTTTGGGGATGATATTGGGCTTGACTCATGCTCTAATGAAGACAGAGAAGTAAGTACTGAACTCAGAATAATAATCATAAAAAAACAAAACTGGATGTGATGTTTTGTAGGAACACTGATAAATATATAATTTGATCCCTTCATAGTCAAATTCTTGTTTTGCTGTAGTCATGATGCATTAGGCATGATTTTAATGAACAAAATTAAAACATTTCTCAGAAATGTTTCATGCAATGGAGAAAAAAAATCAAGCTTCAGACTTTGTTCATTTTTCTTCATTTGGTTAGCCAAAATTACCAACTCAAATTATTTGAATCTAATATAAGTAATTGTTTAGTACACCACCTCAATGTAGCACTTGGTTTTCTGTGTTTTGGTATGGTAATAAATCAACAGAAAGTATGTGTCCAAGCAATTACATGGATGCCATTTTCTCATGATGTCAATTGATTTAATGTCTTTCCTATAGGAGTGGTGTCTGAATATTTAAGTGGATGTTCTGCATACAAAATTGTTATTCAAGTACATGAAATCTTAGTGTATTACATCCATAACTAGATAAGGAAAACAACTGTTTCAATAACCCATATCCAACATCAGATGAGAAATGCTCTGTAGAGTAATTTTGGATTACTTTAAAAAATGAGCTAATTTGCTGTGCTAAATCCCTAAATCAGTGTCTCTTAAGGTGCAATACTTTATCCTTTGAGTTTCATCTCAAATATTTAATGAGTTGTTTTTTTTTTTTTCTTGTACTTTCATGGTCTCTACTGCTGCCAGTACATGGATGATTCAAAGTCCTGTTGTGAGAACAGTTTTGTCTGTACTTCACAGGTGCCTGGACTGTCTGATGATGCACAATGGACTGTGATTGATATCTTGAATGTGCAATTCAGTCTCTGCCCTGAAGAAACTGCTGAACTGTGTAATTCATTGTCCTTGAATGGTTCGAACAAGAGTCCAAAAGCCTGAAAGTTTTTGGTCTCAGCTTATTGAGACAATTCTCACTCTGACTGATATCAGGAAAGGATTCAGAAATCTAACTACTAGTGGATTCTTTTTCTGACTACACCCCAAAATATGAGATTTCCTCCAAGAATTCATTGGTTTACTGTTGGAAGTCAGAAAAAAAAAGGGAAACATACTCCTTAAGATGTTTTACAGAAATTAAAGGATTGAAGTTTTAAGTTGCCTTGGAGAATACATTATAAACCACAATATGATTTATGAAATAAAATAGTTAATTTGACAAAAAAAAAAAAAAAAAAGTTCATATTACACAGAGGATGTGTTGTAGTTATGATTTACTAAAAAAAAAATAATTCACTGTAAAATATATATCAAAGCCATATACAAACTTGATTTCTACAACAAATCTAAGAACTACAGAAAAATACCTGGAAAATATTTTCTGCAGATGATGTAAATTTTCTCATTGTATAGCTGCTTAGGATGAGTCTGGCATCATTCTAACTTAAAATGGCCCCAAAACAAGTAGGTGACTAAACTAACAGAGAGAGGAGGAAAAGACCAGTGCTTTTCAAGCAGAGTGCCATAAATGGCCAAATTACATTAATAAAGTATACAGTAATCGAAATTCATTTGATCTGCAATTATGATGCAAAAGACAAAGATCTAAGGTAGAAGAGACATACCATTAGCAAGGAATTGCACTGGGAGCATTGCAAACACCAACCCCAAAGACTGTGTCACTAGCACTGACTGCTTTGCATTCAAGACGAACTTGTTGGTACACAAATTACAAATGCATTGGGTGCCTCTGGGCCTGGGGCAGCCTGGAAGAGTATAAAAGCCCATCCAACATTAAGCTCCCTCATCCACTTCTCTTGCCTTCTCCTCCTTGGTGAAAAAGGTGAGCTGCAAGAGCCTTCTCCTCACTCCCCTCATTCTCTTCTTCTCCTCTTGGCCTTCTGACCCTGACTGAGTCTGCCTCCATGTAGCTTTGATGTGGGCCTTGCTCCTCACTCCATCATTGTTCTGCTTGTCACTGAGAGAGGAGGTGGGAGAAGGACTTAGGCTGTCTTTGCAGGGGTCCTTGAGCACCCAGGCCCCCAATCCCCTCTCTGTCATTGTGCACCCCATGCTCCCCAGACTATGCCTTCTGTCTTGGCCAGCAGGCTGTCAGGCTACTGCTGACATGCTGCATGTGCTTTCCCTGCTCTCTCTTCCAGGTGCGCCTCCATCCCACAGCCATGTCGTGCTACGATCTGTGCCGTCCCTGTGGGCCAACCCCACTTGCCAACAGCTGCAACGAGCCCTGTGTCCGGCAGTGCCAGGACTCCCGTGTGGTGATTGAACCATCTCCCGTGGTGGTGACCCTGCCCGGCCCCATCCTCAGCTCCTTCCCCCAGAACACCGCTGTGGGATCCACCACCTCAGCTGCCGTTGGCAGCATACTGAGTGCTGAGGGAGTGCCCATCTCCTCTGGAGGTTTTGGCCTCTCTGGCTTTGGTGGCCGCTACTATGGCAGGAGGTGCCTGCCCTGCTAAAGCCCATGAGGACGTCCAGTGAGAGCATCGACCACGAAGCCCGAAGCCAGGTGCTGGACTGAAGACGGAGCTGCTGGCCAGAGTTTCCAGATGGGCTGAGCACCCTCGTGGCCTCCTGCAGAGCAGAGAGGGAAGCCAGGGTGCCAGCCTGCGCTGTCTGGAAACATGGCCAGCAGATATCTTCTTCTCCCACTTTCTTCATTGCATGACAAGTCCTTGTTTTCTGCTGCTGTTCTGTGCCATTGGTTCATCTGGAAGCAAGTCAAGAGTGTCCTGTTTGTTCTTCCTCTTCCCATGTGAGGGAGGAAGACATGCAACCCATTGTGTTGAAGTGGGATCTGACTGCCAGCTCTCCTTGTGGCAGCTAGGACTGGATCCCTTCCTCCATGTGCTGCTTTGATTCCTTCTTCAGACTCATTAAAGTTTATGCTGCATTATAATCTGTGTCTCCTCATATTCCTTCCCTATTGGGATTCCCAGCCATTCTCTGTAGAGAATGGGCATGTCCTGAATTGTAATATTCTGGTTAGCCACCACATCATCTCTCTGTGCCTACACTAATGTTTCTGAATCACTCAATGAGTCCAGCAGAGCCGCAGTCACTGTTTCTGTGTCTGCAACACCGTTCTCCAGCAGCATTCAAGTGAGGGATTTTGGCAAGTCCCTGTCTGACCCTCTCCTACCACAGCAAGGAGAGGAAGAAATCATCCTGGATGCATCTGTTGTGCTTTTCTACTGTTCTGCCCCAACCTGCAAGAGCACCAGCATCAGGGAGGAAAGTAGCATGGTTTGTGTGTGGTTGTTGTGTCCAACTACAACAGGCTCTGGTGATTGCTCTTGCCATGGGGGATGCAGGGGATAATGAGCTCCATAGCCCTACTTCCCATATGCTCTAATCCTCAACAGGAGATTTTTTTGTCTGTGTCACGCACTCCTGCTTGAGGCATAGTGCAGGGCACCTCTCACGCTATCCCCTATGCTGGGAAAATCCTACAACACTTTACACCATAGCTAAAGGCCTGCCTTCCCTGACTGATTGCTTTTTCAGGCAAAGTCCTGAGTCTTGCTGTATGGGAAGACCCTCAATAAACACCCTCTTTGGGAATATTTGGGAATATTTTGTTAATATTCCTGAGTCACCCTGAGCTGACAGTGGGAGCATAGTGCTGTGAAGAGCTGATACCGGAGAGGGAAGGCAACAACTGCAGCAGGTGATCAGGGAACGTAGGGAACTGCAGGGAACTGGAGCTTTTGGGCAGAGTAGCATTCTGAAGACCGACTGCTGGGTAGTACTGGCCAGTGGGAAACCACATGTGTGTGTTTGCTGAGATGCATGGGGAGAGGAAATTGAGGGAAACGATTGTTGTGCTTTGTGCTGTGCTGGTGCGGCCTCACATTGAGTACTGTGTTGAGTTTTGGCTGCCACAGTATAAGAAGGTTATAAAACTATTAGAGTGCCCAAAGGAGGGCTACAAGTTGGTGAAAGGTCTCGAGGGAAAGACATATGACCAGTTTTCTCAGTCACCTGTGTTTTTCAGCCTAGAGATTAGGAGACTGAGGGGAGGCTTCCTTGCGGCCTACAGCTTCTTCACGAGGGAAATTAAAGGTAGGCCCTGTTCACTTCTCTGTGGTGACAGTGGCAGGACCTGAGGAAATGGCATGGATCTGCAACAAGGGAGGTTCAGGCTGGATGTTAGGAAAAGCTTCTTCACTCTGAGAAGGCAGTCAGCACCGGAACAGGCTCCTCCTGGGAGTGGTCATGGCACTGAGGCTGCCGGCATTCAGGAAGCATTTGGAAACCACCCTCAGAAATACATTCTGATTGCTTGGTGGTCCTGTGTGGAGATAGAAGTTGTACTTGATGATCCTTGTGGGTCCCTTCTAACTCAGGATATTCTAGGATTCTATGAAGCAGAGGTCGTGATGCATACTTTCCTCTATAGACATCCTGCTGTCATTCTCAGGCCGTGCCAGCTTGTGATGAGTTTTCGTGTTGCATGGAAAGTTTTCCAAGCATTTTGCAGTGGAGGTTATTGAATTAGCACACAGTTTGAAAGCAGAAGTTGCAGGAAGCCTTGAGGAGGAGGAAGGAGGAGTTGTGAAGCCACTACATCACTGCACTGACCTTTGGTAGTGTGAGGGGTGTAGACTTAGCATGTGTTGGAAAGGGGTGTCTCTCCTCAAACGTCCTTCTTCTGTTGACTGGGGACTTCAGGAGGCTGCCCAGCAAAGGAGGGAAGGGTAAAGAACATGTGAATTTCTCCTGTGTGAGATTGCAGACAATCTAAAAGCCAACAGCTTATCCAACCTGACTCGCATGTTCAGACCTAACATAGAATTATTTATTATGTGAAGCATTGGCGATGGCCACTCCCATCATAGAAAGCTGTTTTTAAGTCATACCTTGTGTTTTAGTATGGGAAGGAAATGTGAGTTAAGCATTTTTGAAATCGTCAAAGTAAGGCTCTTTAGGATATGTGGCTGTCATCAAATACTGTAGCTGAATACCCCTCATCACTACTGTATCATTTTCATGTGCTGATGCATCATTTCCAATGGAAATATTTTGGTCTATAATTCTGTCCATTTAAAGGAGTGTGCATGGCCAAATAGGCATGTCATGAAAAGGGTGTATTAATTGGAACAAAAAATAGTGTCCCCATTTACTTTGACTTCACAGTTTTGCATAGAAGATGAGCTTGTTGTGAAACAGATTCAAGCCCAAAAGGTGTCTCTGCGCCTGGGGCAGTCTGGAACAGTATAAAAACCCATCCAACAACAGGCTCCCTCATCCACTTCTCTTGCCTCCTCCTCCTTGGTGAACAAGGTGAGCTGCAAGTGCCTTCTCCGTACTCCCCTCTTCCTCTTCTCCCCTTGGCCTTCTGGCCTCCACCGAGGCTCTGGCTCCGTGTAGGTTTGGTGTGGGCCTTGCTCCTTGACTCTGCTCCCTCTGTTGCTGTTCTGCTTGTCACTGAGTGTGTTTGCAGAGGCCCTAGGACCCCTCTCTATCCTCATCGACTGTGTCCCTGTTCCCCAGACTATGCCTTCTGTCTTGGCCAGCAGGCTGTCAGGCTGCTGCTGACATGCTGCATGTGCTTTCCCTGCTCTCTCTTCCAGGTGCGCCTCCATCCCGCAGCCATGTCGTGTTACGATCTGTGCCGTCCCTGTGGGCCAACCCCACTTGCCAACAGCTGCAACGAGCCCTGTGTCCGGCAGTGCCAGGACTCCCGTGTGGTGATTGAACCATCTCCCGTGGTAGTGACCCTGCCTGGCCCCATCCTCAGCTCCTTCCCCCAGAACACCGCTGTGGGATCCACCACCTCAGCTGCCGTTGGCAGCATACTGAGTGCTGAGGGAGTGCCCATCTCCTCTGGAGGTTTTGGCCTCTCTGGCTTTGGTGGCCGCTACTATGGCAGGAGGTGCCTGCCCTGCTAAAGCCCATGAGGAAGTCCAGTGAGCACATTGACCAGGAAGCTCGAAGCCAGTTGCCGAACTGAAGATGGAGCTGCTGGCCAGAGTTTCTAGATGGGCTGAGCACCCTCGTGGCCTCCTGCAGAGCAGAGAGGGAAGCCAGGGTGCCAGCCTGCGCTGTCTGGAAACATGGCCAGCAGACATCTTCTTCTTCTTCCACTTTCTTCTGTGCATCATGAGCCGTTGTTGTCTCCTGCTGTCCTATGCCATGGGTTCATCTGGAAGCAAGTCAGAAGTGTCCTATTTCTTCTGCCTCTCGCCATGTGAGGGAGGAAGACATGCAACCCATTGTGTTGAAGGAGGGTCTGACTGGCAGCTGTCCTTGTGGCAGCATGTACCGGATTCTTTCCACCATGTGCTGCTTTGATTCCTTCTTCAGACTCATTAAAGTTTACACTGCATTGTAATCTGTGTGTCGTCATGTTCCTTTTCTTTATGGATGCCCAGTGAAGCTGTTCAGGGAGAAATGTGATGTCTTGGAGTGGAAAAGCATGGGTGAATATGGCCCTAATATGGACCTCCTTCATGTCTGGAGTAGTTAGCTAGCCTGAAGAAAGATGGTCATTAGTGGAGATATGGAGAGGTGGAAGGGTGTCTGGTGTTTTAAAGCTAAAATGAGAGTGTCCAATATGTAACCCAAGAGATTTGTCACCAACATGGGAGGTTTGCTGCTGTCTTCCAATTTATGAGGCAAACCTTTGAATTTCTGGAAGGTATGTTTGTGAAGGCCAGTGCCCAACTGGATGAAGCTCTGATGTTATATTACAGCTCTAAATATTTTGTTCTGCCCATCTCTCCCCATGCATATCTGCCAAAGCCTCAGATTTTAAAGAGCCCTGAAGAAGGTAAAGGGAGAAGTGGAAGCTAGGGCAGTCTATTAGAGGATGATGTGAGCTCCTATTTTTGGGTTTAAGTCCCTCCCTCCTCTGCTCTTTTTCTCTGTTGGCAATCCCTTGCTCCATGCCCTCCAGTCCTCACTGAGGTTGAGTAGGAAGCTTCTCTTTTGCTCTACCCTCTGGAGGACAATATAATTTTGCACCAGATGGGTATATTCTCTTAAAGACAGAAACCACCCAAAAGATCCATGCATCTGTCCTTGATGGGAGACCCTCTAAAATGCACTTTGCTCTATGTTTTTAAGGCATCCTGTTCCATCTCCAGAATACAGGAGTTGTTAAAAGATACAACTGGGGATAGAAGTCAACATCCTCAGTATGCCGTCTGAGAGTAGTGTGTTACAAGATGCTTGAGGTCTTGTATAGACCCTCCGTATGTGATTCTGCATTGGGGACTATGGAGAGATGATAGAAAAATGCATTTTTGCATGCAATGTCTTTCTTGTGGAGAGTTTTTAATGGAAGCAGCATGTATGGGAAACTGGTGCCCCGTATAGTTTAAAGATGATTAAAATTCCTTTGTGTATGGAGATCCTTATTTTCCGTGCAGCAATGCTGTGTTGCAGTCACACTGTGGATTTATTCTGCATGCAGATTTGCCTAGATGAACATGCCCTGTCACCTTAAAAGCTCCTTTCATCTTCTTAAATGAGGAATTTGGTTGGGCCTCTGTGATTAGAGAGTTGCCTATGTCTGGTGGAGTCCCAGCCTCACTGGGGAAGGCATTCTGTCCACCCCGTGGGATGAGGTCGTGAGCTGTGTACATGTATGTTTAATATCCCAAGCTGGGCTGTTGTTCCCCCAAGAAATGTGCTGCCTCAGGAAAGCACAGGGTGTGGCTTGGTGTTGCCCCCTCGGCACATATCCGCAGGGAGGTCCTGATACCTGCTGCTTACCCAGATGCCCTCGGTGGACCTCCCAGACCTCCCTTGTTTCTGGGCAGGGTTGTGTGTAGCATGGAAATGTTGCCGTGTGTTTTTGTTAGGGTGGTTTCTTCAAGAAAGCAGCATATCTAGATAATACTGACTTTGGAAAAGCAAAATCATTCTTTCTGAAGCATGCTTGGTCTGGTTATTGGGGACTTACAGACAACAGTGAAGGAGGTGAGAAAGCAAAACAGCCAGGATAACTGGACTGTGCAATGCCAGATGAAAAGGAGAGTAAAAAACACCTGACAGCACTGTCATCCTGCTGTAAAAATAATGCCTACAAAAGCTTTAAAAGCCTTGGAGGCACAGAGAGCAACAGATTTGACCAGTCCTTGGATCTGCTCTCTAATCAAATGAAAATATTAGAAGAAAAAAAAAACAAAAGCAAACAACAAACAAACAAAACAACAACAACAAAATCAAAAAGCACCAACAAAATAATGCCACATTCATAACAACAGTCTAATATGCCTAAGAAGGGGAAAATGCTGATGTCAACTAAAAACATGGCAAAACTCCTCTAACGTGGTTGAAACATCTGCCTGATTTTAACTATAATTTCCAATGGAAATATTGGCCTATAATACTGGAACTTGAAAGGAGACTGCATGATGGAATGGACATGACATGAAACAGCAGAATGAAAAGGGAGCATTGCAGGGAAAATAAACAATGAGCCAATTTACTTAATTTGGAAGCTCAGCATAAAATACGAGCTTGTTAGTAAACACATTAAAAGTGCAAATGGTCCCTCTGTGCCTAAGGCAGTCTGGAACAGTATAAAAACAAATCCAATGTTAAGCTCCCTCATTCACTTCTCTTGCCTTCTTCCTTGGCGAACAAGGTGAGCTGCAAGTGCCTTCTCCTCACTCCCCTCTTGCTCTTCTCCCCTTGGCCTTCTTGCCTTAAAAAACTCTTTGCCTTTGTAAAGCTCTTGCTGTGGCCCTTCATCCTTCACACTCCTCGCTCCATTGTTGACCTGCTAGACACTGAGAGGGGAGGTGGGAGGAGGTCTTGGACTGTCTTTGCAGGGGCCCTTCGGCCCTTCTCTGTCCTCGATCTGGACTCAAGCCTGTCCCTGCTCCCCAGACTGTGCCTTCTGTCTTGGCCAGCAGGCTGTCAGGCTGCTGCTGACATGCTGCGGTGCTTTCCCTGCCCTCTCTCCCAGGTACGCCTCCATCCCACAGCCATGTCGTGCTACGATCTGTGCCGTCCCTGTGGGCCAACCCCACTTGCCAACAGTTGCAACGAGCCCTGTGTCCGGCAGTGCCAGGACTCCCGTGTGGTGATCCAGCCCTCTCCCGTGGTAGTGACCCTGCCTGGCCCCATCCTCAGCTCCTTCCCCCAGAACACCGCTGTGGGATCCACCACCTCAGCTGCCGTTGGTAGCATCCTGAGTGAGGAGGGAGTGCCCATCTCCTCCGGGGGCTTTGGCCTCTCTGGCTTTGGTGGCCGCTACAGCGGCAGAAGGTGCCTGCCCTGCTAAAGCCCACGAGGACGTCCAGTGAGAGCATCGACCACGAAGCCCGAAGCCCGGTGCCGGACTGAGGACGGAGCTGCTGGCCAGAGTTTCCAGAGGGCCTGAGTACCCTCGTGGCCTCCTGCAGAGCAGAGAGGGAAGCCAGGGTGCCAGCCTGCGCTGTCTGGAAACACGGCCAGCAGACATCTTCTTCTTGTGCTTTCTTCTCTTCAGCATGAGTCCTTGTTGTCTCATCCTGTCCTGTGCCATGAGTTCATCTGGAAGCAAGTCAAGAGCATCATCTTTGTTCTTCCTCTCACCATGTGAGGGAGGAAGACATGCATCCCATTGTGGTGAAGGGGGTCTGACTGGCAGCTGTCCTTGTGGCAGCCTGGACTGGATTTCTTCGACCACGAGCTGCTTTGATTGCTTCTTGAGACTCATTAAAGTTTATGCTGCATTGTAATCTGTGTCTCCTCATGATACTTCCCTTTTGAGATTTTCAGCCACTCTCTCTAGAGGGAACTGGGATAACGTAGAATCTAAAGTTGTGGTTAGCCCCCACATCATCTGTGTGCCTACAGTCCTGTTTCTGAAGCACTGAACCAGTCCCGCAGGGCTGCACAGGTGCTGCTTGTGTGTTTGCCAGACCATTCTGCAGCATTCAAGTGAGGGATTTTGGCGAGTCCCTGTCTCACCCTTGCCTACGAGAGCAAGGAGAGGAAGAAACCCTCCTGGATGAAGCTGTTGTGCCTTCCTGACCTTCTGCCCCAAAATGCAAGAGAGCCAACATCAGGGAGGGAAGCAACATGGCTTGGGAGTGGCTGTTTGGTCCAACTACACTGCGCTCTGGTGATTGCTCCTGCCACAGGGGAAACAAGGCAAAACAAGCTCCATAGCCCTTCTTCCCTTATGCTCTAGTTCTCCACAGGAGATGCTTTTGTCTGTGTCACCCACTCCTGCTTGAGGCAGAGTGAGGGGCACCTCTCATGCTATCCCCTGTGCTGGGGAAATCCTATCATGCCTTACACCATAGCTAAAGGCCTGCATTCTCTGACCAACCACTGGTATGAGGCAAAGCCCTCAGCCTTGCTGTGCAGGAAGACTCTCAGGAAACATGCTCCTTGTCAACATTCCTGGGCCACCTTGAGCTGACAGCAGGAGCAAAGTGCCGTGAAAAGCTGATACCAGGGAGGGAAGGCAACAACTGCAGCAGGCGATCAGGGAGCGCAGGGTGCTGCAAGGCATTGCAGCTTTTGGGCAGCCCCTGAGGTGCGAGACATGTTTTTCCTTGGAAAATTACTTGAAGCTTCCTTCCTTTCTTCTTTTGGGGTAGATGCAGCTGGTGTGCTATGTCCCAAGTGCACAGGAGATTTCCTCCTCATGCATACGAGTTGTCTGAGTGCGGCAGAGGCCCAATGGCCCTCATCAGGCTCACCTGGAGCCTCCCACCACACCCTCTTCCCATTGACCCTGGTGCTATAGTCAAGTTTTGTCCTGAGCCTTTGGCCCCCCCTTCAGATCTGGGTCATCAGTGTGGGTTGCCTGCTCTGTTGCAGATTTGCTTATGCCTGCCCCTGGGTGGCCTTGGTAGGGCTAAAGTTGCCCAGTGGTTTCCCAGCTTTCTCTTGGGTCTGTCTGTGTTACTTTTCTGGGCCTGGTCAGCAGTCTTTGGGCCTCGTGTTGACCCTGGTTGCTGTCACTGGACCTGACCCTGAAGTGTGGACTGTCTTGTCATCAGTCCTGTGTCACCACCATGAACCTGATCACTGAGCTAGACGCCTGGCTGAATCTGCCTTCCATCTCCTCATCTTCCTTGGTCAGGTGCTGTACAACGAGGGCCATTGCTGGTATAGCTGATGCCCTGTTGGCTGTGTGGCCTTGCTTGGCTCCTGGCTCCCATTGTGTAGGCAGCAGGTGGCTCGTACTGAGCCGTGACAGCACTCTTTGGGATAGATGTTTACTGTCATCATCAGGGTAGTACTGTGCACCTTCAAAGCTTTCCTCATCTTCCTAAATGAGGAATTTGATCGGGCCTCTGTGATTTGACAGTTGCCTTTGTCTGCTGTCGTCCCAGCCTCATCGGGAAGGCATTTTGTCCAGCC